ATTATTTGATATCTTTTTACTATTCGAATAGTCTGATACCATTAATATCTCACAATATATATTCGACTGAAATTTTATATTAAAAATTTGATGCAGAATTATATTCTTTTTAACTGAACTTTTTCCAGTTTGTGGTTTTACACAGTTATGTGATTTATGCTGATAATCGAAATAGATTTTCATCATAAAATGCTGAAATGTTATTGTCCTTCATGAAAAATTGGTTAATATTAAACTTTTTTTTACTAAGCAATGTTGAAATTGTATTGCAAACAACCTTATTCCATAGTCGATTATTATTGCTATTTTTCCTCTGTTTTCCTTTTTTAAATAAATAAAAGTTTTGGTAAATTTATACCGGATATGTGAAAAAGATTCTATATCCGAATAACGAATATGATATTACATTTTTTTCAAATATCCGGTATCCAGTAATTTTACATTCCGGTGCATCCCTAATATATATCATATAATCTTCGCATTAAGAAAGGCATTGCACTTTATTGCTTATTACCCTTTTTGTTACTATCTCTTTTTAGATATACATATCTTAGATCTTTTATAAATATATAACATCAGCTTATTCTGCTATTATAAATGCTAAATAGAATTATATCTGATATTTTTTTACATCAAATCTTTCCCTTAAATATATTTTTTAGACTAAATGGATTGATATATTAGAATATTATTTTAATTCAAATCAAGATTTAATTGCATATCGTTTATCAAAGAAACAAGAAATATATTTAAACAATGAAGTATACATGTTATATGTCATGTTGTATGTCACTCAAATATTTGTGTTAAAATGACTATATATCAAAATTACTATACTGTAATGGCTCATTTTCTTTGTCCTCTATTAACAATTAAGAGAGAAAAGAATAAGTTAAATATATATAATATTTCAAATAACAAAAAATTATTTTTAACAAGGTTGGAAAGAAATTACTTTGTAAAAGTAACTCGTTACTAATTTAAAAAAGTAATTTATATTATTGTTATTAAAAATGTTATAATAGCATTTAATGGTTGCAACGTGATAAAAAAATTCACACATTCCCTACCCTTCCACACACATGTATTGTATACATGCAAATAACAACAAAGATAATGATTCTATTCCGTTAACCAAAAATGTAACTATTATACATTACTATTAATCATTAACTGCGTAACTATTAATACAAATTAAAAAATATAATATTTTATCGTTATTAAAAAAAGAAGGAATTGATATCAATAAACGCGTTACTTTCCAGCTCTGATTCTTAATTCTCAGAAAATGAACCATTGTACGATCTATAGTGAAAAATAAGGTGAGGGAGATATCGTGTCGATTCAAACAATTTTTTATCACATGAAAAGTGGTGACAACAAGTTTTATATATACATGCGTATATCTTAGAGATATGTGGAACATGCGAGCACACTTTGGCTTTGTTGTAGTATACTTACTGGGCGAGGGGTATGTTATCCCTGTCTGCATATGCGTCATACAAATATTCACTGTAACGGAGCGTGTTAGCGGTTAGATTCCAACAACCATTCCACACATTAGATAGCTACATAATCTAGATTATCGCAGTGGACCGCGACTATTCGGTCTAGGTAAAATAGATTTTATACAATCTTTTGTTATTGCTCGCAGTTAATAAAAGAATGCGCATTCGAGATATAGTTGGGATAGTTTTGTAAATACCGAAATAGTACAAGTAACAAGTAATTTAATCAAAATAGCATTGATAATTTTTGATAATACAAATCATTGATTGTATAAATAAAAATTGTTAATTATATAATAATTACCATGTACAAGTATGAAATGACGATTTGAGAAACACATCAATGCAATGTGAAGTACAAAGATTTAACATTATACGCCATTTTATTGTCCATCCACAAGTGTCAAACGCGCAAAATGATTTGATTGAAAAGTGTTTGCATAATATTGCTGTGTTTAATATGACGAAATTTGTACCAAATTCATGGAGGATTCATGGACAGCATTAATTTTTTGTTTTCATTTGAAGAAAATTGCGGAATCATATCGATCACTTGGAGAAGCTTATGGTGAACATGCTCCATCGCAAAAAACGTGTGAACGATGGTTTCAGCGTTTCAAAATTGGAGATTTCGCAGAGATGTTGCAGACAAGGAACACGGAAAACCGCCCAAAAAGTACGAAGATATGGAATTGCAAGCATTGCTCGATGAAGATGATTCACAAACACAAAAACAACTCGCAGAACAATTGAGCGTTAGTCAACAAGCTGTTTCCAATCGCCTACGAGATGGGAAAGATTCAGAAAGTCGGCAGATGAATTGAACGAGAGACAGATGGAGAGACGCAAAAACACATATGAAATTTTGCTCGAACGATACAGAAGAAAATCATTCTTGCATCGTATCGTTACTGAGCATGAAAAGTGGATTTTTTTTTGAGAATCCCAAGCGCAAAAAATCATGGGTAGACCCAGGCGCACCATCCACATCGACCGCAAGACCGAATCGCTTTGGCAGGAAGACGATGCTCTGTGTTTGGTGGAATCAGAAGGGTGTGGTCTATTATGAGTTATTGAAGCCTGGCGAAACAATTAATACCAAACGCTATCAACAACAATTGATCGATTTGAACCGTTCGCTGTTTAAAAAACGACCAGAATACTAAAGAGGCAACACAAGGTCATTTTTCTCCATGACAATGTTCCATCAAATACGGCAAAACCAGTTCGGGATACGTTGGAAGCACTCAGCTGGGAAGTTCTACCCCACGCGGCTTACTCACCAGACTTGGCTCCTTCCGATTACCATTTGTTTGCATCGATGGGTCACTTGCTGAGCTTTGGATCGTACGAAGATGGAAGATGAAAAAATGGCTCGTTGAATGGTTCGCGATAAAAGGAGAAGATTTTTACTGGCATGATATCCACAAATTGCCCGAAAGATAGGAAAAATGCGTAACTAGCAATGGAGCACTTTGAATAAATCTCTTTTTATCATTCTTCCGAATTTAACGTGTTTTTTTTTGGGAAAAAAATCGTCATTTTATACTTGTACACCTGTACATGAAAAGAGATTCAAACTCGAGTGCAATTATCTTATGCCCGTGTTACATTACGCATTGAAGATTGAGGATTTTGGAATTAAAGATTAGAATTCGACCAATTAGATAATTTTAATTTTAATCTGTTTCATTTTAATTGGCTGAATTTTAATTTCCTCAATTCGTAATTTTCAATCTCTAATGCATAGTGTGCCGATATTAAGCAATTATTTCTGTTTTAAACAAGATATAAATTTTCGAAATCGAGAAGACAAAAAATTCCTTCGAACCTGGAAATTCTTTCAGAAGGATTTTTTGGAAAACAAAAAATATGGACATGCCGATTTCAAAGATATTACAAAGCGCGAATAAGTACATGCCATGATATATGGAAGAGAGTGACTACGAGACGAAAATAAAAGAATTAACAGTTTCTACATGAGAAGTGTTCAGGGATCGTTGTACGTTGAGATTCGCAAAAAAGAAAAAAAAAGCTTTATCGTACCGAAGAGTAACGTCTAATGCGTCTTGTTATCTCTTACATTTTTTTCTTTTAGATTTGTAATCGATACTTGGGACGTTACTCAACGATTTGGTAAATGACTCATGTTTAATGTATGATTTCGATTGACAATGGATTTACTAAAGACACATTAGTATCTCAAATATTGTCATGCACCATATATTGGATGAGTCAAAAACAATTAAAGAGACGTTTCTTAGATTGCAGTTGAGAATTGTTATATCTATAAGGAGAGATTAGAAACTTACGCTTCGACAAGAGGCCCCGGATATGGATCTGACTTTTGGTACAGAGCGCTCAACTTCACACAGAGCATTATTGTTGGTATGAATAGGATTAGGCACCAACCAACGCTTGCCCAAAAGCCGTTCTATACATAAATATAAATAAAATCATAAATATTAATTTTCAACAAAGACTTAATTTTATAATGCATTATTACTCGCTCAATACTTTAATTGTCATCCGTTACAATAAATTTGCTTATCACCTTATGAAAACGAGTAGAAAATTTAATGGAAATTTAGTGAAAATTTAAGAATTTATATAAATAAAATATAAAATATAAATAAAATTTAAGAATTTATATAAATATATAGGCACGTATTAGCATATCAGATGATATACGTGGATTTATGAATGCAAAACTAAATACTTACGAATGGATCCAAAATTCTATTGCATCCGGCCACGAGCGTTGCGTTATAAGCATTCGACACGGGAGCACATCTTCCAATTTTGAAAATTGCAGATTCAATGACATGCTCGAGAAATTTATCCACTTGATGCAAAAACGCATTGCCAAATTTAGTAGCAAGCTATTAACAATAACATATTTTAAATTGACATGTTATAAATAACATCAATGTAACATATAGCAATATTACTAAAATATATTTCTATAAAAAAATGAGACGTACATATTGAACATATTCCGGTCCATCCTTATTTAGGAATTGCTGTGCCTTGGTAACTTCATCCACTAAATCATGAATAGCGTCAGCCATTGAACTATGATTGAATTTAATGGTCTCCTGAAGCGTTAACGCGTTCGCGCTCAATTGTTCGCTGAGCATAGCCATAGGCATGACTAAGTCTCTGTGATAATGTTCCAAGTCATGTGCATTCTTCTCAAGACTGAGCCTGATTTCCTCTTGTCCTTCCGGTAATTTAGCGGAAACTTCTCGTAATTGTTTGGCAAGATGTTCCAAATTAATATTCGTAATGTTCTCAGCGAGTAGCTCGGCATACTGATAGAATTTAATGTCGCTTAGGCCACTCTGCGCTAGATCGTTCAGTTTGGATCTCGCGCTATCCTTCAGGATCACTACACCGGGAGAAAGGCTGATCTTGCGGCGTAATTGTTGGATGGTATCATTGATGTCGTAACGTCCATTGTAATCGCGCAGGCTCTCAACAATGAATACATTTTTTAGATTCAGCACATTGTAAAGCGTCTCATTCTCATGGCATTTACTGTAATGAGGAAAAACTCAAGTCATATAATAAATTTCTTTTTTATTCAACACGTATTGGACTATATCCAATTATTTTACATAGCGCTTATTAATGAATCGATAATAGATCTTTTTTCTCTTGTAATATATAAACATCAGAAAAGAAAAATGTAAAAAAGGTGTCAAATATATTTTGCAAAAAAAAGAATCAAAGATAATATCAATAAAAAAGAAGTGAAATCAAAATAATATATTTCAAGTATATATATTTATTAAAAAAGTCCCATAGAACACAATTCTCCGAGTATCTTGAAAACGTCCTTATGATAGTAAATATTCTTCGGACATCCTTTAGAATTGTATAGGATAATGTATATGGGATAATTGCTCACAATTAAAGAATTAATATAAAATACGGAAGACGTTTAAAGTATAACAACACATTAAAATGAGAAAACAAAATGCAATAGATAGCATGAAGCGCAGAAATTGAAAAAGAATTTCTACATCGATAACAACTAAAAAATTATAGAGACAAAAAATGAAAATTATAGAAACGAAAATGAACAAGATCTCTAGCAGCAACATACTTGAGGAGACTGTTTTTTTTCATAATTCGATTCATGTAAATAATTCAATGAATATTTTATTAATTATAAATTATTTTTTGCAAATTAAAGAAATTTTATATACTGTGACGTAATATTTTTTTGTCTGTCACGTCAAGAATCGTCGGCGGCGGAATCGCACGTCCTCCCGGCTCAGAAGGTGAACGTGCATGCGAGCGCACCTGTGCACTAATCCTGTAATTGTCTGTTTTTGTTTAATATTTTTGCTCTTATTGTTAAAATTTTTATTCTTTAGTGATTAATCTCACAATCAAAGTTCGGATCGCCATGGATCGTGTTTGACACCTGCTATATTAATCTGTAATTATCCGTCTCACTCGCCAGTAGGAGAAGGAAAACAATATCAGAAGAAAAAAAGAAAAGGCGACGCTACGTTTGAAGGCTGCCCACAAGAATCCAGACACGCAGGTCGTATGGTTTTGTATAATTACTTGTAATCTGCTGCTGCCCTAAAACCCTCTTATGTCGCGACTCCTTGCAGAGTATAACCGAACCGGATGTCCATCGGGAGCATATGGTCCCCGACGTGGAACTGGAAAAGGAGCTGCCAAGACATCTCTCATCAGGGAAGTTCCGAGGCCTCAAGAGGAAAAGCAGCTCTTGGGAGAAAATTATTACGCGCTCTTAAGAACAAGGATTTGCGAGGATCTATGCGGCACGCGCGGACAGCGTGATAAGTAGGAATCAATCAGCGTGATAGCCCTTCTGAGGGAGGGGGGGGGGCGAACGGTCTGTGTCCCTGCGTGAATTCACAAGGAACTCTCAGACCTCACTCCTGCTGTGGCCAACGTGTAAAGGACGTGCGAAGTCAATGAGCGTTTGGAGATTGCTGCTGCGAGCGAGATTATCGAGGAGACAAGCGGAAGGAACAAGACGATGAAACGAGTATCGCCACTGCTGTAAAGCTGCCGATCCGGGTTCATAGCTTCGGATGGATCGCGCATAGAAAAGCTCGCGTCGTGGAAAGAGACCGATTTAATGGCTGCCATATAAAATGAATTTGCAAGATATAGAGTGAATGTGCCATCTTCCCAAGTCTTGGGATTTTTAGTTGTCGATTTTTGTGGTTCAAATCGTAAGAGATTATTAGTTATCAAGTCGCGCTCGCTTCTCTTGCCACAATCGAGTCATTTTGGATTTTTGTACTGTCGTATCTCGCTTATATATATATATAATATGTATATATATTAGGTGTGGGAAAAAGTTCGTGACGTTTTTTCCGTTATATCTAAGAGAAAAACGCCATGAACTTTTTCCCACACCTAATATATATATATATATATATATAGGTACATATATCTTGTAACACACATACGCACGCATATGCGAAATTATATTGTCTATATGCTGTGATGTGACGTTTTTCATTGTTCATTACAAGGAAGTCATTCGATTTGACTGAAATAGCGTGGCATTATCGTCTTGTGTCCTCCCGACGCGGAGGACGGCATGTCAGCGCTTGCGCGATTTTTGAGTGACTTTTATCGTTACATTTCGCAAAGTATTATTATTGCTTGCGAGTTTATTTAAAATAATCAACGGTTCCGGTATACAATTTGTTATACGAGGCATCGTCTCATCACTTCAACTGGCGGCAAGAAAAGAGATAGAAGATTTATATCGAGGATACGAGGCTACTCAAAGGAGGGGTAGCGCGCAGATGATACCGTTCTGAATTTTTAAATTAATCCCTTGTTAATGAACCTGTCATCTTGTCGCTGAATTACAGATAGCTATTAAAGAGAGTGATTAAAGCGGCATGAGAGAATGGCCACTCTCTGTCATAGTACAAGCGAGAGACCCCCCCCCCCGCTATCGATGCCGTAGAAGAATCTTTGCCGTGAAAGGAATCAAATTCAGAAGACTGTTCAAAGAAGGAGTCCATCGATTAGAGTGTAAGGATACTCCTGCAAGAGAATCACTCAAAGGGAGTCTAATATAGCCAACAAGAATGCCAACCGTAAGCCATATCCCGCGCATGTAAGGATATAGAGTGCATGGCGCTATCACGACTTGCGGAACTCGCGAGATGATTCACGACCAATCAGGACGCGATAAGACTTATCACATGGGTCTATGGCCTGCCTGCCTGCGAAAGGACCTGGCACTTGTGCTGTGGATGCGTAAGAGGACGCAGGACATTCCAGAGGAATTTAGATTATCGAGGAAAATCGAAAACCTGACAGTAATATAATTCTACTGCAGTCTTCTGAAATTGGATCGCGGGAGATACTCGTAGGTGCGGAAGAGAAGAAGAAGGCGCGGATAAAGGCACTATGTTTACCAATGTAGCCTAGTTTCCACCGAGGGTTTAAACCGGATCATAATGTAAGAATCTACAATTAAGCATTCTCCTGTCGTTCGACTGTAACAGGGGAATACTTCACTCTAGTTGGTTCTTACATTCTGATCCGATTTAAACCTCGGTGAAAACTAGACCAATGAGCCATGCTGTGACGTTACGTATCATTGGGAACCTGCCGCGGATCGCCTCGCCGTTGCAGCTACCATGCGCGTTATCTTATGTACTTACCATCTTTCTCTCGATGCATTACTGTCTTCTATTTCTCTTTTTTCTTTTCATATCCAAAATCATTTGACATATGACGACATATTCGGATGATAATATCATCAATGTAATTTTGATAAAATTGCGACGTTGCCAAATAATATGCATAATGACATAAAAGTTAAAGATTAAGATGCATTGCGACGTTGACAAGTGCGCATAATACAAAATAAAAAGATCAATTTTAACTTCCGAATTGCGTGCGTTTATTTTCATACTTATTTGTTCTTTTTTCTTACAACGGATAGATACATATGGCATAAGATAGATCGGATGGGAAGTAAAGAAAATACATATATAATGATGTGAATGAAAAAATTTTTATTTATATTTTATTACATCATTTTTTTTCATACGCATTAAAAACTAAAATTAATAGCTCGCAATCGACAAGTTGATGTCCAGAAGATGTCGTTATCGCGTATAGCGTTTACGCAATGTTGGAGAATCGCATATATTTGACATCGATCATATCAATAAATAGGACTAATCGTTCGAATGTTAATATCAATCTACCTGTTAAACTGAAACATACAGCGTAGCGACGTTTTGGTCATCGTCACACGAATAAAAAAATCGAGACATATGTGCGAAGCATCGTTCAGTGATGCAAAATCTGAATTAGCGGCCCAACGTTTATAAAATTGTTGTAAAATTGTCTTTGTATTCGTTTCAAAGCATTTTGTAAATATTCCATCATTGCTTAGAAACACATTTCGAGAGACAACAGTTTGTGTTCATGATGATTTTATAGAGCAATCTCCACGTAATTCAGTGAACCAACGATAATTCCATTTTCTTAATACTTGTCGCTCGTAGTCAGATCATAACGTCTGTTCAATAAATGCATCGTGCGATGCTCCATGCTGTGTACGCACGTAATGTTAAAAACGTTCTTTTTTGTATATTAGAACATTAAAACTTACATGTTACTGCAGTCCTTCTTTGTTTCGTATGATGCATTGCTCTCTTTGATGAAGTACATTTTTCAACTGTTCGTACAACCAGGTATCGCAAGATTGATCGTATCCGCATAAATTGTAAAGTATATGGTTATATATACGCTGCTATCTCATATAATGGTAATACTTCTAGAATCGAAGAGGGAATAACTCCTCCCCTTCTTTATAAGAATTGCGAACATGTCATATCGCGTTTTATCGCATCTTTCTACGTATTTTCTTTGTTCACGAGTTTATCAATGTTTATATTTTATGAATGATATTTCGATGACTTTGATGCTTTTCCCTCAGGGCATTCCCAATATCTCGCTTTTTTCTTCGATAGTGGATTTAATGACAAGAATACTCCTCGATTTCTGGTATATGTATTCTTTTACTCAGCCTATGTTTCTTAACGCTCATAACAGAAACTTACGATTGAATGAAAAAAGCCTTATACACTGCCTATATACATTGCATGTACACACACACACACACACACATAAAATCAAATCGGATATGCAACGCGACATAATTTTAACAGAAGCGTCGATGTTTCGGATTACATACATTCATATAAATGTTCATATATATATATACGCACATACATACATAGAAGAAAGGCCTCTATTAGACGACCTCTATGAGATATCGAGTTCATTTTGAATAAATGCTAGAAATTTATAAGCAGAATTTAAAAAAATAATAGGTCATTTTGAAAGGAATTTAATAAACTTTAAGATAATATTATAGAAAATTTAATTTAAATTCCATTTTTTTTTGAAAATTAAAAAAATGTAAAAGTGAACAAATCACAAAATCAAAAAATTATGCTGAGATGCTCGAGAAATCGATAATAAAACGCAAAATATATCAGTAT